AAACAGAAACAGAATATATATATATATATATATATATATATATATATATATATATATATATATATATATATATATATATATATATATATATATGTGTGTGTGTGTGTGTGTGTGTGTCTGTGTGTGACAGTGAATATGAGAGAGAAGGACAGTATGTGGGCTTGCAAATGAAAGTGAGTGTGTCTGTGATAATGAGATAATCATGAAGAGAGACTGGGGAAGGGGATCCAATTCTCAGTAGTTATTAGTAGTTTTACGTCTCTGCCTTAAGATGGTCGGATGTTTATGCTAAAATGGCTCCAGATTTGACCCAAACTCTTCAGCCGAGAGCCAGGAAATGTTCCGTTAACTAAGATGGTCAAATCTATCCACACCACCTATCGAGGGCCCTGCGGTTAACAAAAATTGACCAGTAAGTGTATCCCACTCTCCGGTTCACTTACTAATGATATCCCCACTGATTCGACCTTTGTTACCTCCCATTATCTAGATATTGTCTGCATCCATTTTCGACACAAGGTTTCTGCAGTGGATGTGTCACGCTTAACTGACTTCTGGCTGAAGCCTGTTAGAGCACCATGTCATCTAGTTCTTGTAGATGCTTGACAACGATCACAACACTTGGCAATGCTTGGCCCTCGTGAACCATCACAGTCTCCAATATGTTATTTCAAAACAAGATGTCACGAAGGATGGACGACAACGGTAAGTGTTGTCGCACTCGGCGATGAGGCGAAGATAAGTTTCAGTCATCCATTTCACTCTGGAGAACCACAATGCAAAGTGGAGGACCGGTTGGGGGAGAGATGTTACCCCGCCGGGTTGTCATGCGGGAGATCCGAGTTTGACCCTCGGCGAAGTGATGTCCTCCCCCCTCCCCTGTCGAGTTTATAAACATGCTAACCTGCACAGTCCGTGGTGACAGCACTAACCAAGCGGTCCTCAGTTCCTCGGGCTCACGACTTCCCTGTCTACAGCGCCACAGGAAGAAGTAAGTAGAGACAATAATGGCAGTTGATAGTGACAGTGAAAAGTCGTTGTTTGGTTGGTTGGCTTGCTGTTTGAACCGTGGTTGGCTGGCTTGCTGTTTGACCTGTGGTTGGTTGGCTTGCTGTTTGACCTGTGGTTGGTTGGCTTGCTGTTTGACCTGTGGTTGGTTGGCTTGCTGTTTGACCTGTGGTTGGTTGGCTTGCTGTTTGACCTGTGGGTGGTTGGTTGGCTTGCTGTTTGACCAGTGGCTGGTTAATCCTCTGGTGGTTCGGGTTTTCTTTTTGGACCCTTTCTGCTGCAATTCCCTTTGTTGAATCTGTTGAGACAAATTGGAACTAGCCATAGAATGTGATAAACATCACGCTGGCTGAGTTTACTTCGCAAGACATTATCCTGTACCCATTTTAGGCTGGGTCGATCTGGGAGACAATGTTAATTGTGACATAAAAATATCCTCTCGATACGGGTTCGAACTCGCTAATCTACTGGGGAAGACTGGAACGCTTATGGCTATATCTTATAGCTACTTGTGTTAAATAAACAAACGTATTTGTCAAGTCTGGATTTTTCAAATAACGCCCATGCTATAGAGAATTTTCATTACTGTGCAGATGATATTTCTCTAATCCTCCATTGGTAGCGGATTATATTTGGAGGGAAAAGCCACATCGTGGCTGAATCAGCGCTGAGAGTTCATGCCGAGTGGCTCAGCATGAGTCGGTTAGAACTCTGTCTAGATGCAGACACAATCTCCCCAGTTAGTCATTGGCTAGGCCATATGGCATATCCGTGGGCAGGGATTTAGTGACTAACTCAGGTCCAGGACACATCTGGTACTGGAGATTTGCCGGTGGGAACCACGCTGGCAACTTCGTCTTTTTCGAGAGTTTGACAGCATGTCGGAAATGTTGCAGGTGTCCTTATCTTTTGTTAGTTCTCTTATCGTGTTGGTATTAGAGCTTTATCATCATCATTATTATCATCATCATCATCATCTTCTTCTTCTTCTTCTTCTTCTTCTTCTTCTTCTTCTTCTTCTTCTTCTTCTTCTTCTTCTTCTTCTTCTTCTTCTTCTTCTTCTTCTTCTTCTTCTTCTTCTTCTTCTCCTTCTTCTTTTTCTTCACCTGCTGCTACTGCTCATCCTCCTTCTCCTTCTTATTCTTTCCTTCTTTTCACCGTTTCCCTTCGTATTCTTCTACTTCTTTTTCTTCTTCTCCTCCCCTCCAAATATTATCATTATTAATTTTTTTTTAAATGTCCGGCTAATCGATGTGCACACGCACATGTTTACGTGACCTGCCTGTCTACACCCGCGCGCGCAAAAAGTTAATACGCACTGATACATTGACAGAGGGACCGACAAAGATACACACAGAGACTTATACGCCGACACATGTTTATATGTAAGGAATGTAATCAAACACTCACGGATAGGTATTCACTTAAAATCAATGACGCATACACTTACTTACTCAAACATTCACAAAGATCCATTCACACACACATTACTACAGTCACCTACACGCACGCTCGCACCTCTACCCCCCTCTCCTTTCCCAACCAATCCTCACACACTCACACACACACACACACACGCAGGCACGCGCGCACGCACACACACTCACACTCGCCCATGAGACCCAAACTACAAGTAACAACCTTTACCTTTACCACCTCACCAGTAAACTGCTCCCCCCTCCCACACACACACAGTGCACATGGGAAATGTTGACTAATTACCCCTCCCACACACACAGTGCATGTGGGAAATGTTGACTAATCCCCCCTTCCCCCTCCCACACACACAGTGCACGTGAGAAATGTTGACTAATCCCCCCCCCCCCTGTTTTCACACAAACACAGTGCACGTGAGAAATGTTGACTAATACCCCCCCCCCCCCCACCCCACCCCCCCCCCCACCACCCTTTCACACAAACACAGTGCACGTGAGAAATGTTGACTAATCCCCCCTTTCACACAAACACAGTGCACGTGAGAAATGTTGACTAATCCCCCCTCCCCCACCGACTTATCGCTGACAGATGAGGACTCTCAGACCGGGCTCACAGCTCTGTATGTTGTCTCCCCCCTGTCTCGATAATGACAGTTAAGTGGACTTTGCCTGTCATGGCCAAACTGCACGGCCTGCAGTCCTGCCTGGCGGAAGCTCTGTGGTACTTCAATCGTACTGTCGACCGCGTAGCTAGTGGCACGACATCTCCCATCTGGGGGTGGTTGGGGGGGGGGAGGGGGTGAGAAAGGGGTGAGACTAAATCAAATCATTATTTGGGGATTGACTAACGTCAGCTAGTCTTTTTTTTTTTAATGCCATCTGTTTTAGTCATAAGTATGTGAGTGTCTGCCCGCTCTATCTATCATCTCTCTCACTCATCTCTTTCTTTCTTCCATACTCTCTCTCTCTCTCCCTCTCTTTGTCTTTCACTTCTCTGTGCTTATGTCTCTTAGTTTCTCATCCTCTTCATCATTTTTCTCTCCTCTTCCAACTGTCTCACTTTTCTGTCATTTGTTTCACTCCGCTAAGCTTTTCTTACCCTCTTTGCACTGTCTCTCCTCCTGTCTTCCATGTTTTTCTGAGTCTGTCTTTTTGTCCCCCTCCTCTATCTCTCTCTTTTTGTTGTCATCCTCTTTGTCTCTCTCTCCTTATCTTTTGTTCTCTCTTTATCTTTTGTCAGTTCTCTCTCTTTCTCTCTCTTTATCTCTCTCTTTCTTTCTCTCTCTCTCTCTCTTTCTCTCTTTCTCTCTCTCTCTCTCTCTCTCTCTCTCTCTCTCTCTCTCTCTCTCTTGTAATTGACCGGTCTCCCCTGTCGCCATACGAGCAGCACAATAATTCACAATCATCATCATCATTATTATCGTCAACATCATCATCTTCAAAAACCGTTGTCCATAAAGCTTGTGATCACAGCCCTTCTCTTTACTGTAGTTAATTAAGCTTTGCCGACTTCTTTGTAGCAAGGTAAACAGCGAAATACCTTTCACGTGCGATGCTTTTCGAAGAACACTTGGCATTAAGTTCTAAAGTTCAAATCGATTGGACTGAATTGAGGGATGAAGGATTGCCTGGAGGATGAAGCACTGCATGGAGGATGAAGCACTGCATGGAGGATGAAGCACTGCATGGAGGATGAAGCACTGCATGGAGGATGAAGCACTGCATGGAGGATGAAGCACTGCCTGGAGGATGAAGCACTGCATGGAGGATGAAAGACTGCATAGAGAATGAAGGATTGCGTGGGAGGTGAAGAATTGCAGAGTCCCTAAGGATAGCCTCTGTGGTGAATTACAGATGTGTAGAAGATGTTCGCTAGGTCTCTACTACTGTGTAAAGATGTGTAGAAGATGTTCGCTCGGTCTCTACTACTGTGTAAAGATGTGTGCAAGCAGGGCATGACTGGTACAATCTTTGAATTGCATTCGTGCGAAGGGACTGATGTGATGTACTGATGTACGAACAAGATGAAAGGCAAGAAGAAAACAGGGATAAGAGAGAAGAGCCATGCAGACAGTGACAAGATCAGCGTCAGAGAAGAAGCATGTTGGATACATGCGATGTTAACATTGGCCATGAAATCCCACGCTCTGCCTCTTCTGCCTTCGCCATTAAATTACAACTGGCACGCCATGTTGTGGTTTACAACTAGGCTGCGATATCTGCACCTTTAGGACTAATCATTCCAATTTTAGCAAGTTAGTCACCTTTTACAGCACGCATACTGAGGGACATTGTGTCTACCCCCCCCCCCCCCCCCCCCCTCTCCCCGCCAACTATTTAATGGAGTTATAAAAACACAAGGGTATTCGATTCTCTATTTGTGGGCAACATTTCTGTACGTGAGTGGGTCTTGCTAATCACACTCGCCATGGCCATAGACTGTGATTCTTGTTCCTCCATATATCACAATATAACACTAATGTCTAGAAAGACGGAAACCAGCCATCATCCTCATCATGTGTGTAATCTCACAAATCTGCTCTTTCTCGTTTTCAGATGACGCTCGTCAGAACAACGCCAAAGTGCTGATCCATTGCCACGCCGGGGTGTCTCGATCTGCCACCATCACCATCGCCTACTTGCTCAAACACACCAGAATGGCCATGGCCGACGCCTACAAGTTCGTCAAGGGAAAGCGACCAATCATCTCCCCAAATTTCAACTTCATGGGCCAGCTGCTGGAGTTTGAGCAGGATCTCAACGAAGGCGTGTCCTTGCGAATCCTGCACCCACGTTTGCATGGAATCGAGAGTAGTGTCTGATGATGATGATGATGACCTAGTTACGGTTTATTAGCTTGTGGATTTGAATTGCAGTTCTGGTGGTGGACTGTTTATGCGGGCATTTCTGATCGTTCTGTCTTATGCATCAAGGCGTGCGTGTGCTTTCAGCTTTTCCGGGACTGTAGTCTGTTTCAGTTTTTGTCGCATGGGACAGGGATACACATTCTGTGTGGTTTTCGTGGGCACAGGAACAGAGAAATTATACTGTGACCCGATTTTCCATGAAGTTGAAACTCGACTAGCACTAAAAGCTTACATGTTGGATATGGCAGTATACACTAGGCAAATACAAGTAACAGAACGTCTGTACTTGTATGACAAAGATGATTGTCCTTAACCATAACGAGGCTAAATTCTACACTTGCGAGAGATTGAGAACAGTTTCTGCTGACCATGTTGCCGCTGATTACCTTCTAAGTTTGGTCAGATGTTTTCTTCTTGTGTCAACTGGAGGCACAGTCTATTTGCTGAGAGAGACCTCTAGTGTTTTGAACTCGACCCTCATGAGTCAGAGGACTCAGTACTGCACTTGTGTCTGGAAATTCATGCTGTAAAAAGTCAATACTGATGAATAAATGATACGCATCATTAATAGAACTAATAAACGACATTGACATTTATAGAAAAGGCACAATTTCAAATACAGAGAATATTTCAAGCGAACTAAGAAACAGAAAGAATAAGCTTCTGGATTTGATGCGACAACGTTGACCGCAGAATTGCAAGTACCGGTAGAGCCGACCTTGAGAACAAATGTCCAACAAATGTGGTTGTTTTGGCTGAACCGTGCAACTATCACAGTTCTGCTGTAAGCAATCACAATGCATTTACGTTGCAGGAACAAAGGATGAAAAAGTAGAATTTCAAGTGACATAATAAATTGACTTGTTTGATAGATGAGGGTTATTCTTTTCAATCATTTACATAAAGTGCCTGGCCGACTGGCGTGGGCGATCATGCCTGTCCACAATCCGCAACTACATGTATCAGTTCCTGTGTTGACACCCATGACAAAAGGCTGTCAAGAACATTCTCACGCTGTCTTCCTCTGACTCTCTTTCCACACAGCTTTCTAATGGTCCCCACATGTTCAGTTTTCCTCTTGTCATAACATGACCATAAAACAATGACTGTCTCTTTCTGATGGTTGTGATAAGTTTTCTTCAAGCATTTGCCTCTTTCAAAACCTCTGGGCTGCTCTTCTTAACTGTCCACAGAATTCTAAGGGTTCTTCTGTAAAACCACATTTCCGAGGCCTCAAGATATTGTTCGGCTTGTTTATTTATTGTCCAGGATTCACAGCCGTATGTTAAAACTGGTTCTATATAACTTGCGTGAATTCTTGTTCGAACCTCCAATGACATGAATTTATTGCACAAAATGCTTTTCATTTTATAAAAGTCAGTTTTGGTCTGTCCTTTTCTGTTTGTTATCTCTGTGATACGTCTTTGATCAAATGGTCTCCGTGTGCCTAGAGGCTAAAATTTCTGTACTTGTCCTAAGTCTTCTTTTTGTAATGTTGCCAATTTCCACATTTTTATATTTAAACCCCTCCCTGAAAGAAGCAAAAGCCAGAGCAGGATCTCAAGGTACACAGCTTGTGAAATTAAAGACTTCAAAATTTTGTAAATATGTCAAAGATCAATTATAGTCATGAGTGAGACTGTAGGTAACTAGACAGATGTATAAGTGCTGGGTTTTCATTATTGTGTACATGTGTGTTCAGAGTGAGCAGGCTTCAGAATGAGCAGGTTTCACAGTAAGCAGGTTTCAGAGTTAGCAGGTTTCAGAGTGAGCAGGTGTTTAATGATGACGATGTTAACGAGGATAATGATAATGACTGATAATAGTGATGATGGAAGATGCAAGATTGCAATTGGTTTAAAAACGTAGTAAGAATATATTTGCATAAACAAGGGGGAAACGGTGATGACAATAGTAAAGCAAGACAAATACATTTATGGCAATTTCCTATCAGAATCTTGGTGAACAAACCAACCGTGAAGTAAGTCTGAGTGGTGTTACAGATAGTTTGACCTGTTTGTCATGCCAAGCGAAAGAAGTGTTGTCATCCTTCTGTCTGGCACCATCCACGTGGAAGCAATATTCAAAAATCAATACAGGGGAATGTCAGTAAATCGTGGTGGACTGGTGTGAATCAATGCATACATGTTAAAGTGTCAAAGTTAGACAATAATGATTTGCACGATGTTAACTTGTTGGTTATTCAAAATGGAGGAGATTTTATATAGAGAATTGTGTCATAGTGGGGGGGGGGGGGGGGGGGGTATAGAAGTATTACGATGGGGGAGACCAAGGGAAACAATGCTGGGTAGTTTAGCTTTATGGCATGGAAGATCAGCTGTATCAGAAATGGCTGACAGTACAGGAGACAGAGAACCAATGCCACATAACCTGAGAGAAGATACTACTATCTCCAATCACTACTATGACATGAAAATGTAAAGTGGAAGTTGACACTTGTAGCATTGTTGGCGCACCATATGCAATAGTGCTTTTCTCATATGTTTAGAAATTAAGCAGTACTTGCTGAGTGATTTAGTCAACATCACATCTGCCAGTTTTATTCTCTTTACTTTATTGTGACTTACTACCAGAGTTTTCCAATAGACCAGTGGTTCCCAGCTGGTTTATCCCCGGACCCTGAGAACAGGTTTAAGCATCTTCGGTGTCCTTTGTATTCACCTTCACAGAGGTCTGCCTGTGCCTCGTCTTCTTAAAAATAGACCCTTCATCACCGTTTTCTCCTGGTCATCATAGTTTGTTACACGGGCAATTTAGCTCAACTTTCTGGACAGGATCATGTTTATGAGCCAGTTCTTCTCAATGTTTATGTGGGATGTCGGGGTTTCTTTTTTCTTGATCCAGGGTATTGTGATAATGTGTGTGTAGCATTTCAGTTCAAAAGCTCAGAGTTTTTTCTTCAATGACTGAGTAAAACTCTATAATTCACACCCATAAGATGCCACTTTGAAGTGGCATTTATGACAGCAGAATTTTGTTTTGTTTCTTCTTGTTTCTTTTAGGTGTGGTGCCTTAGGTTCTTCTTGCTGTTTAGTCTTAGCATTGGTAAAGTGGGTCTTTTCTGGCTTCGTTTGTTCAGTTGCCGTGATATAGAGAAAATAAAACAACCCCAAACCTTCTTTTTATGATTCTAATAAAGATTTACTTGACTAACAAAAAGTGTGGTGTCTGTGGCGGTTCTTCGAAAATTAGAAGAATAAAAGGGAAGCTGGGTCTCATTTGAGAAGCACAGCCGTAGACAATTTGACTCAAACTCTTATCAAATAGAAAGAGTTTTTCTGCCTCAGAAAGTCATGTTTGATGCCCCAGATGTGAAAAAAAATTGACATACTACATCCACAAGGCATAAACACATCCCTCGTGGGAGGCAAATATGTTGTTGAGTATTGCAGAATGCCCTGAAATGCACAAGCATAATAGTATGTTAACTTGTACATATGAGTAAATCGAGGCCTTCAGTATCTAGAGAGGCCCTTGAGTACATCCAGTTACACATGAAGCATGGATGTTAACCAAAAGAGTTAAAGAGCTGAGCTTGTTTAGAGCTGCCAATGCACGCATCATGTGTTCTTTGGGTCTGAATGAGCTGAACTGACAGGTTAGTGAAACCTGTGTCAGAAGAGGACGCTGAAACTTGTAAATAAGTGTGTACATTTTGTTACCGCCATTGTAAGACGCCTTCAAATAGTGTTGTGAACTTGCAGCACATATTTTATCTTTCTCTATAAACCAACTACCTACAAACCTTTTCTACAAAATGCTGATAACTGTACTTTAACATTTAGCTACAATAATAAATACAAGCAGAAAAACTAATTTATTTGTGAGTATATGTATGTGCCTGTGTATTATCTTCCTTTTCATTCAATCAATATTTTGCCAACAGAAATGTATTTTTTGGCTTGTTTTATGGTAAGAATGACAAACAGGCAATTAAAAATGTGACCAGTGTTTTACAAAATTGTATGCCAGAATGTATAACTTTTTTTAAAAATTACTTTTGGTAACAATAATATTTTGTTGAGGCATCATTTTCCACATTCTTCTTCTACCGTTTATCTCTCTGTGGAGCATAGGCCCTCACTCAGCTCACTCCAAGCCTACCTATTTTTGGCCAACTCCTTTAGTTCCCTCCTGTAGTAAAGATCTCTTTACATGCCAGTGGCACATTGGAAATTCGAGGTTACTCATATTTTGTAGACTATTTATAGACTTTGGTGGGTAATGTGGTCAACATCACCCCGGCCACCTTTACTTCCCATAGTATCACCTGGTACCCATTTAAGGCTGGGTCGACCTGGGAGACACAGTCATGTTTGAAAGAACATCCCTCTTTAGCCTCCTCATGTTATTCTTGCTTGTGTGAATAATGTAATTTTTTTTAAACCTAATCATGGCTGGTTGGAGTTTGTAGAGGATGTTGGACAGAATAAAGAGGCTAGTCCTGCGCCAACACTTCTTAGTCCCCTGTTACGACATATAGTAGGCTATATTGCACAGTGGAACCTCAGGATACGAATTTAATCCGTTCCATGGCTGAGCTCGTATGGTAAATAACTCGTATCCTTAAACTGTTTCTCCCCTTAAAATTAATGTAAAGAATGTTAATTTGTTCCAGCACTCCAAAGATCATCCTATTAGTTTCAAAATGACGTTTTTCGTCTCGTTAACGAGGAAAATGTGTGGCACTGCTTGGCTGTTTTTATCAGCAGTGGAAAAGTGGGTTACTTCCGACCATAATGCTACAGTCCATCATCATCAAGTACCTTGTTGACTGGCTTAAATACTCACTCGGCACTGTTAACATGACCTAATCCTTTCAAAGTTATCGAGGTGCTGTCATGTAACGCAAGAGTTTGAGTCTATCTGGCTTGCATCTTGGATTTCGCCTCGCATTTCAAAGAAATCAATAACAATTGGCGAGCCTGTTCTCG